AGCTCTCCTACATCCAATGATTTCCAGTTTTCACACAAATTTTAATTTATTAGATTTTAATTTAATTGATTTTAGTTTAGATTTCTATTTCGTAGAATGCTTGGAAAAATGAAAATTTATCTACAAAATATAATTCAAAAAAAAAAAAAAAAATTCCAATAAATCTAAAGAAAAAACATCTCTGTTTAGAAATCACTTTATTAATAAACTTCTGTTTCATTTTAAGAGCATTAAAATTTGTCAAGAAAATCAAGTTAATAAAACCATATTATTTGGCCACATTTGCACTTTTCAAACAATGGGAGACATTTTCATCCAACTCAGCATATATCCTTGTTTAGTTCAATGCAATTTGAATTTCTGACCCAAAAAAAGTTTTTTTTTATTGCTGAAAATTAACATATGTTCTATTCTAAATTTGAAAATGCAAAACATTTTTGTCAGCAAGCAGTTTATTGCTAGACCTAATGGTAGTGAAATATGTGATATCCCATCCAATGATTTCCAGTTCTCCCTGCAATGCACCCAAGTTTTATCTTAAAAAAATACACTGTGTATTGGTAACATATTTATTAACTCTATGATAACACTAATGAAAGCAAAATTACAGGAAGAACAAAATGATTTTGATTTCAATTCAAGGCAGGGTCTCTCACTCCAAAAATTTTGAAGAAAGTGCGCCCTTTGCACCATCTCTTAGCATTATTCAGAAATACAAAAATAATTGCGAGATTTAAAGAGACATGCAAGTAGAGACGAATTCAATTTCAATTATGCAATTTTTCTCTTTGTCACATAGCATGCAATGGTGACCATACAGGTAAAAAAACTTCAAACTTATGAGATGCATTGCCGACAGAGATGGGGTTAAAACTACTCAGAAATGTACATTTTTGGGATGGAGTATCCCTAAAACTAAGTTGAAATTAAAATAATTAGGTTACATTCAAATAACTAGATTAAAAGAAAGCTTAATAGGTTAAAGATATAGTTTAGTTGAGCCAGATGCAGTGATGTTGTGCCAAACCCATACAAAAATTTAATTATGGATAATCAATATAACAAAATCAAATGGTTATATGTCTTATGCAACAGCAAACTGGATCACAATGACACAATTTTATTTTCAAGTTTGACTTGAAGGCAATTTTTGCGATCAATAGTAAATATTTGTTTGTTCAAATTTCTATCAATTGACTGATTCAGCATTGCACCCTCTATTAAAAAATGAACTATAAACATTCCCTCTTTAGAACGGTACTGTTATTCAGCATAGGCTGACACTGTTATTGGAACAAGGGTATTTTCCTTTCTAAATAATGTCCCAGCAAACTCCGTACATAGTACTTTCAGTCTACAGGTAGAGAGATCACCGGTTGACGGTTGTGGCACTTTTATAACAGATTGGCTGAATATACATTGATTTCTATTCAACAAATACTTTAGGGAATACAATAATAATCTAATTTTTTCTGCAAGTCTTACAGAAGCTTATATTTTGATAGTATTTAGACATTTTGTATTTTATTAAAAAAGTTTTGATTTTTTTTTTTTACACAAGACCAAAGTTTGATTGATTGATTGATTTGAAGGATTGATTTTAGGACATAAAATATTATTAAAATAGCATAAAAGAAACATACCTTTTTTGGTTCATCTTGGACTTCCGGAACAGTTTTGGTTTTATTTTTTTTACATGGTGAAGCAGCAACAGAAGGACTTCTGATTTGATTAATTCTACCCAAAAAGTCTTCTTTAAAAGACCTTGCTCGGCGTGCAAGTCGTCCACCACGTGAAAGAGTTTCTATTAATATTTTAACAAGTTAAAACATCATTTTATAGCAAAAAAAGTAAAAAATTAAATCTTTTCAAATCTTCTAAAAATTATGTATCTTAATGCCATATTTTTAAGCATTTAATATTAAATACATTATGTGTTTTTTTAATGTATTAGAAGTTTTAAACACAAGAAATAAAATCATCATTCTGATATTCATAAATATTTGTAACATTTAAGAAACAAATAATTTCAAATGCCGATGAAACAAGACTAACAAGTCATTAATCATAACAAATTATTAAAATGTTTCAATATTTATACATTTTGTATAAACTTGTCCTGTCATTATATGTTTATTTAAGCTAAAAACAGTTAAACCAAGATATGAAATTGAAAAATCTACTAAAAATTTGTCTAAAAACAAAGTTATACAAATATTAATTTTTAGATTTAACCAGTTTCTTACACTTGTTAGTTTTTCTCACTCATAGCAGGTTTTACTATAAAAAAAATTAGTATCTGAGGCTCAAAGCCAACTTAGGATAAAGAATCCAAATTCAAAACACAAATGAAAAGAACCAATAAAATGGACCCAAATAGAAATGACCGTTTAGAATTTCAGTCTTTTTCACTTAAAATAATGAGACAATCAGTATATGATCAATTATTTATGTATCATGCATATTTTTTTTGTCGCTTGCTATGCCATCTGCTATGTCTGCATCAATCACAAAAGGGTTAAAGTACACGCCTAAAAGAAGTTAATTTGAAATCGTTTAAGCATCTAGAGAATAAAGATAATTTTCAAAAATAACAAGAGAGTTATATTTTGAAAACAAAACGGGGGAAAAAAGTAATAATATTTACATCACCAGAAGTGACTCATCCCAGAAAAAATAAACATATTTCCTCACAGTACAAATAAAATTTATAAAGAAAACCAGCATTTCACTAATATATTGCAACACACGAAATACACGAAAGCAAGCTTTAGAAAAAGCTGGAAACTAAAAAGCAAAGAATTGTCAGGAAGAAATATCTAAGTCATGAAAATGGGGTGTTCAACCTCTTTCACATTGGCCCATAAGAAAAGCCCCCATTTACTTCAACAAGTTTTAATATTTTTTATATCTTAAGTTTTGAGAGCAAATAAATAATTCAATATATAATAATATTTATTTAATATTTAACAAGCTTTTAAGTTACAGGAAATTTGACCATATTCTTCAAAGTAAGATGGTTGAAAATAACAATCTCAAAAAAAAGAAACTACTGAACAAACATACCAGATTTAATATGTTTTGACATAACTAAATTAATGTTTACATTTATAAGAATATAAGTTTAGTTTATCGGTTTCGCATTTGTATGCCTATTTCTGTTAGCACGAAGTTAAGACTTAAGAACCACATGAAACCTTCATAGCTGAGGTAAATATCTAATGGGGCAGTTCAACAATAGATGGCGCAACCATAAAAAAGTGCGTGATAATGCAATAAACATCTGACTTTTAACAAAATAAGTAAATGCTTCTCAGCAGAGACAAAGTACAAAAATATTAAGGGAAAATACCTTTTACTACATTTATCCAATGATTAGGAATTGCTACTGCATATTAATATAAATTAAAAGAAAGGGTTACGTTATTCTGCTACGTAAAAGTAAGGTTAACGCAGCACTAATTTATATTTGTACATAATTATATAGTTGTACATTGAAAAAGTTAAATAATAATACATGCCATTAGACTAATAAATAATAAGACATACGGTCACTTCAGTACAATGAATGCTGTTTCCTAAAGCAGACGAAACTGCAGGGAAGAATTGGACTAAACCGGGTTACAGGATAAAACCAGAAATCAGATTTTTTGGACGAATTATTGTAGCTTTTATTAGAAAACGCTTGAAACTAGTTGCAGAAAGGCTCTTATTTGGAAATGAATGAAAAACCAAGCAAGCTGTTTTTTGTCGAAGCTTATGTTTCTTCTAATTGCTTAAAAGTTTATTTTAATTTGGTTCACTATCTGATTACCCCTTTTTATTCATTCTCTATTCATCTAAACCTATAGGAAAATAAAAAATAAAAACCTTTTCGCAATTCAAATTTTAAATGTAAAAGAAGAAAAAAATTGATTTGTTAAACGTTTCTATATGCTAATAAAATATTCACGTAATTTTGAGTACAAAATCTACATTGAATGAATTAAACATATACACAACTAAGTTGTACGTCATTTTTAAATGCAGTTGTATAAAATTTCAAAAATATAATTATATCACAGTTTTCCCTGTTATTGAATTTATTTTTTTTTTTAAAAATATTTTAAGCTATATAAAAAGTTTCATACTTTAACTGAAATTGTCTCCAGATATATAATTTTTTTGTCGATCACAAGAGATTCTGTTTTTCATAATAAATTATTGTATTTACAAATTAAGAATTGAAGCAATACAAAATACAAAAAATTTCAAATTGAACGGAAAAGAAAATCATTAATATACCATATGTGTTTTAATCATAATAAAATTGATTTAAGGTAAATCCCGTATAAACCCTATGTGGATTGAAATGCATTGAAATACAATATTTTAAAAAAGATCCCTTTAGTAGAATAAAAATAAGGTTTAAACTGGACATCCAAGAAAAAATGTTCTAACCTGGAGCAAACCACCGTCTTGTTTCCCTTAACAACCTAGTATTGGGTAAAAAAATGCATTACCCGATACGTCAGGTTGACAAGAGGGGTAGAAAAAGGGTGAGAAGTAAATACAGCTAAGCTAGAGAGATAATGTTTATAATATAAATTTTTACGCTGAATCGAATGAGACTAAACATTAGACGATAAAACTGGAGCTAATAGTTTAAAAGTTAAATGGTTTTTATATTATAAAAGGTATAATTTGTGACTATCTATTCTCGAACCTGACATTATGTTATCTAGACATGTAAAGTATTGTTAAGCCCGTATATCCCGTATATGCCCGTTTGTCTACAGAATAAATGCCATAACTTCTTTTTCGAATGATTAGCGGAAACATTTGAATGTAAAGTGTGCAAAATAAAGGAGTGAACACCATAAATAACTTTTGATCTAATGATAGGATTTTCACTTACTAAGACTCAATCGTAATAGCTTGAGGGTCTAACTTTAAATATGCTAGCTAATTGATCAGTGCAGATGATATTTCAAGTTACGAAATAGGGTACAAAAACGTACTTTCTCTAAAAAATTTGCATTTTTTTCAACGTACTAATATTTTTTACCCTTAAAATGGGGAGGGGGGAATAGCCGCAATTTAAAAAATATGGCCCCAATTGCTTAGGCAGGATGAGAGTAATTGAAAGGAAGAGCAATAGGCCCCTTTATGTTCATTTTATTTTTTGTGCTTCTTGCATATTTTGCCATATCTCCAGGGTTTGTTAAGCAAATTGAAACATTTGTACACACAATTATAAAATTCATTTATTTAAAGATAATTCAGCGCAAAAAATAATTTATAATTATTATTTAGTGTTTTTTATTACTTTATTTAACAATAGTCTGAAAATTTTTGAATTGTAAAATACACAAATTTTTTCATTAGTTTAAATAATGTAATTTTAAATGACAGAATACAAAATTTGAAAGTGATCATTTGAATAGTTTCTGAATTATCAAATGTTTAAAAAGTTGTACATTTAAAATTTGATTTATTATAATCTACTTAACTGGTTTCGTTCAAATCTTGCATTATGTCATTTAAAATTACATTTCTAAAAATGATGTAAAAATTTATGCACCTTACACTTCTAAACTTTTTTGACCATTATTATATTAGTAATAAATAAATATTAAAAATTTATTTATTCATTTATTTGCATTGGATTATCTTTGGTGAGTCAGTTTTGTTATCGTGTGTAAGAATTTTTCAATTAGCTTAAAAAGTTTTCGAAATAGGTCAAAATACACAAAACGTGAAATTAACAGAATGGATTCTAAGGTTTCGACTGCTCTCCTAGCCAAACTATTGGGGTCATATTCTACTGATCGAGGCTAACTCGATATTTTGAGGGTCAAGAATCTGAATCCGAAGAAAAAGAGAGTATATTCATTCAGAGGAAGTACGTTTTTGTTTCAAATTTCGTAACTTAAAATATCCTTTGCTCTAATTAATTTAAGGCTCGGTTCTGGAATCATTAAGATTTTGTCTTAGTATGTAAATATCGGATCATTAGATCAAAAGTTATTTAGATTGTTCACTTTTTTGTTTTGCGCACTGTAGCTATTATTAATTTGTTGAAAAAAATGACATTAACAGCATTATATCGACATAAACTTTTTTTAAGGTGTTAATAAGAAATAATAAGTATTATTTGCAAAGTATCAGGTATAATTACAAAAACTATTTAGCCTGAATAAGCATTAATAGAAATATTTTAAATTGGTCTTTGTTTCGTATTAATGAAGTAAATGCAGGACATTATTAGTAACAAAGAAGTATTATCAGAATTAGTAAATAATTGGAAGAATAACTATTTAATTGCACCTGATGAACCAAAATATAAAAGTTGCACAACAATTAAAGTAACCTTTTTTAGATAGGAAGACACCTTATTTATGTCGTACTAGAACTGCCCCATGAGCTATTGGAGACGGTCTGGGTAGCATCCTTGAGAAGATTCGAAGACATAGCATCGTAATTTTGATTCTCTGCAGAGAGGCTCTTATTCGTGAGGTCACTTCCTCAAGTTAGACATAGATCTGAAGGGGAAGGAAATTTTTCTCCAGATTCGTGCACCCATGATAGTGCTCAGTGACGGACAACAGGACTTTCGATTCCACAGATTATACGAGCGCGTATATCGTATGCACTCGGTGGTGGGTCCTAGGGGAGTCGAACTCCGGTTTCTCCTGACCAGAGTCCGACTCTCTAACCACTGGGCTACCTCGGCAAAATTGTTTTTTAATAAGAATAGTCCTTTTTCTAGGAATAAGACAGAGTAATCTAACTTAGTTTAATAAATTTTTATTTAGATAACTTAATTCAGTAATGTTTAGTTTTTATCAGTAATATTCGGTAAAATAATTCCCCTTACCTATCTACCACATCTCAACTCTTAGAAATTTTTGTCAAAATGTAAGGTTGCGCTTCAACAGAATTTTACAGTACTTCAAATTAAATATTTAAATATTTATATGCTCATCTGGGTATGTAAGGATGGAAAATGCGTCCCCGGATGGATTTTTTTTTACATGTCCCGGGCGCGACTTTACACATTGTCGACTCCCGGGCACTTCTTTGGCACCGTATTTTGAAATTCGCCTATGTTACATTCGCCAAGTTGGGTTTCAAATTTTCTCGCAAAAATCTTCGAATGTTTCGATTCGCGCATGTTTCACTTGCAGCATACGATTTAACAAACGCATGAGTGAACATGAGGTGTGAATAAATTTAGCTGCTTTCAAAAGTTTTTGTGTATTATTCTCTTTTTATTCGGACTTCCTAAACACATATTTATTTCTTACTTTTTTATTTCCTTTTTATGATAAAGCTTTGTTGTATGTGTAGGATATAAGAGTAGGGTACAGCTTTTTAATTATTTTTATAAATTTATTTCAAATAATTTATGGTGTCTTTACCAAATGTTGTGGACGCAATATTCAATAATACAGCAGGGTTTTGTACCGTATTGTTTAGATTTTAAAACCTTTAATTTAAGTAACTACACAATTTATGAGTTTTAAGCATTTTCATTTTATATACGTGTAATGATGAGGAGATTGTTGCTGTCAGCTTTATACATGAATTTATTCTTTTTTACTTTTCTGACATTGATATCTATGATTAAATTTGATGTAATGATTCCCATTTGCAGTGCGAATAATATTTGCTTCCAAACAATTGTACTTAGATTTGACACTTTTTTGTAAATGTAATGTCCCAAACGATAAATTCCTTCATACGTATTAGCCAACTCCACAGCTTTGGTAGCCAAGACTTAAAAATTTGTAGCAGTTAAAGTATATTTATGAGGTGAACACAATTTTGATTAAAGAAAACTTTTTATGATTTGTAAAATAAAAATATAATGTAAACAGTAAGCATCAACTTTGACATTCTCATATCATAACTGTATAACAATATAAGGACAATCTGTTTATTTATTTCTGATTCATTAAAGACAAGATATTGAGTCAAATAAGAGAATCTTAACAATTTTTAAATTTAATAATTTTCTTTAAATAAAGAAAGTAGTTTTAAAGCAATTGGGTTGAAAGGCTGAGGACTTACACTTTTCTCAAAAAAATTAATCGATGTTATGATAATAAAACAAAACTCCTGCGATCAGTTATCTCAGCAAAAGTAAGATTTTTATTATCAAATAAGAAACAATTATTACCATTCTGCAAGGAACAA